AATGTCCTATGTTAAGTACCTGCCTATTCACTTTGAACACTGCATCACCTATCAAATTGATTTTTCCAACTGGGGGGATTGATATGCACGAAAGCCCTGTAGATTCCGTCCCAGAGTCATAAGGCAGCATGTTTGATGTTTTCACTCCCTCCTAGCTAAATTTGCTCCCTTTGTGTGAATTACTGATGGCACACTTCTTTGCTTTAACCTTTTTTTCTTCCACAGTGAACCGGGATTCCGTGGCAGCTATGTAATCTTATCCGAACAGGAATGTGTGCGTAATCTGCGACGTGTCGGGTTGCCCACTTTGGGCTCTGTGCTGGTCTGTAATTTAGATTCCTTGATTGCAACCGGAAATGTTCGTTGCGCATTCCCGCCGCGTCCATGGCGCACATTTCAACCACTGTCCGAGCACGAGGCGCGTGAAGCAGTCCAACAGGCAGTTAGAATGCAGAATCGAGTCAGTGCTGTCAGTATGGAAAGTGCGGCGGAGAACCCGGAAGCGAAATTTTCGATGAGCGCATTGGATAATCTCAAAACCGGAGCTATGAGCACCACAAACGATGAGGTTTAAGTGTGCGACGTGATTTGCCAATCGCGGTTGTCTGTTCACTCACGTACTGATAATGGTATTCAGTTGCGTGTTTATGCAAACTAAAGCCCCTGTCATATTCGATTACTTGAATTGATGCAGTGGTTTTCTTGGTTTTTATTGTGAACGTCAACTTGTGCTAACTCGGCACAAGTCTGTGGAAGATAAATCCCATTTGCTATTCCTTCTAATCTGGTGTTTCCTCAGTTGCCCGGATGAACCCCAGACTGGGCATGAAGATGGACTGATCGTCAAAACTGATACTTATCCCATTCCGCTCATCATGCCAGATTGTAAAATCGCAAATTCTACCCGCAGTTTCAATAAGATCAAATGGTGCATGTGTAGGGGGGGATGGGTATGCAAGTATTCAGTTAGTATTTTAGGTTCGAATGCATGAAAATGTATAAGTATAAGCCCACTTTTAATTAACTAAATGAGAGATGAGATTATCAAACCGTTTTTCATCGCATCATACCAATAATAATTGTTCTGTGCACACTTCTACTTCATTCAACGACATAATTTGTCCTTTTCATTGTACGTAACTGTATTACGCACAGCAGAAGGGCCAAGCCCCATAATCACAAGGACCTACTGTTCGCCCGCGACAACCAGGAACTTAATTCCCGGAAGAGGCCGACCAACCAAGTGAGGTCTGACCAGCATTGGTATGCTATTGATTCAGGTGACAGTAAAGCAATGAACCAACAAGGATGAGTGACAGTAGTAGAGGTCGGAACTCAGGGTCCAAACAGTTTGGTCACCGTCAAAATCACCAGTATATCTGAGTCACATATCTTTTATTAAAACCAAGAACAGTCAAAAAACCTCACAACATAACTAATGCATTTGACGGTGGGGGGGGGAGCGGTTAACTAGATTATTAACACAATTGGATTTTGTTTCCTATTACTTTGATACATGTGCGATAGATACCGTTATCGTCTGATTTGATTTAACAAAGGACGCAGTTGAACAAATCTACGCATCATCACACCTGCGTTTTCTTTCTTAAGCACTATGCAGTAGAGATGATAGACTATAAGACAACTACTAGATAAATAAAAAGCAAACGACAACTGAACTCGGTTCTCTTCGACAAACTACACACAATGGCTAAAAATTCCCCGGTTCTTATAATGAGGCCTAGGAGTGGGAATTACTGGGATATGGAAAATGGAAACTTCATTCCGAAAAAGAAAAAAAGTCAGCTAGAGGCAATAAAACTGCGATACAGTGAGAAATAGATTTATTGGGTAATATAAATTACCGGTTTCAGCCTGATCAGATTCTGACAGTTGTTGTGTTTCGTCTATGCGTACGAATGGCACGAGCGACTCTTGCTTAACCCCCAACGACAACGCGGAGAGAGAACACAAGTTGCGACACAGTCAGCGTGTATTCTTCGATAAGTTATCGATTGATCGATTGGACAAACATTGGCTGATACGTTCTGTGATCATCCAATCAGGTTCAGCCTGTCTGGAGCGTTGCGAGCGTGCGTGTGGCCTGACTCGGAGGCGTGCGCGATCGGACGGGTTTCTTAGGCTCCGTCCTAACAACAGTAAACGTTATAAGTCGAATGAGTAGATAAATAAGCTGAACTAATCGATTACGGCCACGCTACACGCCAATAGCCGAAATATGCATTTGCTCTTACAGATGTCTTCGAATAACTGATTAATTCTTTTGTTGTGGACAAACATAAAATACCGAACCTGACCAATAGAGTTCCGCCTTTTTTCTCTCACCCGGATCAGGTTTGTCGTGATCCTTTTTTCTCGTTCCGAATTTGCACGATTTCACGAGGTGTTCGGTGCACCTAAAGTACAATTCCCAGTTCAATAATTTCATCGACCCTTCTGAAAACCTTAATGGAGCGAAATATCCCCAATTAATGAGCAGAAAAAATATGTTAGCTAGATGAACGTTTTGGGTGAGTTGATTGGTCAGCACTAACAGTGTTTATTTATTAGCGACAAATCCGATATCCCTTTAGGTTCAAAGGTTATAATTTTTTGTATGAAATGGCTGCTTTTGTTAACATGCATTGAAGTTGCCTTTCATGTCGTAAACGAAATGAACACGTTCATTGATTCTCATAGAAGTGAATGAGTTATAGTGTACAGGTTTTTTCTTAATTCCGAGCATTACTTTGTGCATCTAGGAAATCGGTGATGCTTCCACGTAACATTTACGTGCGTTTCCCTACCGGTGCCAATTTTCATCATGAGGATAGTTCCATTTTTGTGGTCTAAAAAGCGATAAACCGAGACACGAATTCGGCCTACTAAACAGGACAGAATCTTGATGCAGAATCAATGAGCTTCTCACATTTGCAAAACCCTGGAATCACACGCTGTACAACCGTGACTTTCTCGCCGGTTGTGATCGACTTTGTGACGGTTTAAACCATGTAATCAGCTTTTGCCTACTCATGAGTAGACGGTTGCAAATACATCATTATCACATTTGTTTCCAACCTTAGTATCCCATACACCAGGGTATTTCAACAACGGACTGTCCTGGTTTAGTTCCGGACAGGCAACCACTTTCCTTGAACTCTTCGGAATGGCGAATGGTTAACGCAAATGTATATGCACATGCTAAAATGCGAGAACGAGTAGGAAGCGTGAAGGAAACCAAGTGCGCATCAACCATATGCCATCGAATGCTACCTTGTAGTGGAATCGAGTTACGTAGATGTCACCATTCAGATACGCTGTAGGCCAAAAATGCTGTTGATATGAAAAATCAATTTATCGTGTAATAGAGTATACTGTACGTGATCTTTCGCTCTTAGTGAAGTGTCAGGTTGCAGTTTCAAGTGTTCCAGTCCAGCCAGAACTTCCATCAAGCATTCTATCATCCATCTTGTAGAATCATTTGGCTCCAGTTGAGTTTTGATCATCCCCGATGCAAAAAAGTTGACCAACGGCTTCATCTTAACGATTCACAACTGGAGCTTGCTCGATGTGCCGGACAGAATTACACATGTTCTGATTCTGCCCCAAGTGCTCTGCATAAATCCCTAAATATATGAAAATGCTTCTGTTCGATTCAGAGTAGGCTAAATCACATGGCAATTATTCAGCAACTGAACGTTTTGTAGGTGATCCTTTTGCAATATTTGTCTGTGAACTAATGGATGAGGAATATCAAAATATGGCACTTATCACAGTCACCGGCAATGGTTTTCAAAGAACAGATCAGAGTAGAGCGCACGACAGTAGGGTTGGGATTAACCGTACTTCGNATTATCTGTAATCCTCTTTAGTGTAACGCTGATCTGTGATTTACTCCCAACGTAATGAAACACTAAGGTAGTTTCGGGTGCTGTGGAGCGCTTAGGATCTATCTACTTAAATAAATTCGGAAAAGGTTACCCCAAAAGCAATGACTTTGACACCCTTTGAGCTGTACTTGTCAAATTAACTTGGCTAGCGTCCCACGAATCAGCTCAATTTTGCAAGCAACTGGACCCGCGAAAATACATACTCATCGTTTTGTATATGCTCATTTC